ACTGAAAAGGACCTGGCTGTGCTCCTCCTGGAGCCTTTAACTTCAGTCTGATCACGAGGAGGCAGACAAAATTGGGGGCCATTCTGCAACATGGCTGGCCTGGGTGCTTCAAAAATGTCAGTCGTTAAAGGCTAAACGAAAACAAAACAAAAGGCTGAGGAATGCTTCTAGATTAAAGAGCCTAAGGAAACCTGACAACTAAATACTTTGTGTGATTCTGGATGGGATCCAGGACTCTCCCACCCCAGCTGTCCCAGAGGCTCTGAATGACATCATCAGCACAATGGGGGACATTTGAATCTGTACTGTGTAGAGGATAATGTTAAAATTTCCTGGGTGTAACAATTATGCAACACAACGCTTGTGTTCTTAGGAGATGCACGCTGAAGGTGAAGTGCAGTGGTGTCTGCAAATGCTCTCAAATGATCCAGGGGAGAAAAAGAAACAATTATATGCGGAGGGAGAAAAAGAGAGGGATAAAGCAAAAATGTCACTAACTGGTGAAACTGGGAGGTGAAGGGCGTATGGATATTCTCTGTACTCATGTAACTTTTCTGAAGGCTTAAAAATTTTCAAATAAAAGCAATTATATACCCTAGTTTTGTCCATATGGCACTTGCACCTAATTCCTCAGTTCATGTTTATTTATCCCAATTATTTTCCTAAACTTATCTGTATATTTCCCCTTAAGAAGGCAACTATTTTAACTTAATGTCATGACCAGTGAACTTACCCTCCTGCTCCCAGCCCACGCCGCTCACACACACAGAACCTGCCTGCGTTTTGGCGAGATTGCACGTGATTGCACGTGATCCATGCACATGGTCAAGTTTGAGCAGCACAGGACGCATTGCTGGCGATTAGCAACCTTCCAGTAAAACTATTATTTAGTATGTTACAGTTTTACAATTGCTTTATCTAGATTATTTCATTTAAATTTACCATACTATTGTCATCCCAGGCACAGTGTAAAATTATTCTTACTCTTTTTTAATCATGAAACTGAGATCCAGAAACGTGACAAACTTGCCTAAAATCTTGTGGCTAGAGCCAGGTTAAATGCCACACTTCAGTCTCATCGAGTAGTGTAATACTTTTAAATTGTTACTAGTTTGCTGACTGTATCATTGATGTGCATGGTGATTTAGGTAATGATTGTGCATTATTCTTGTATGTATCAGAGAAAAAGTATAATGAACAAACCAAGCGGGGCATTTCATAGATATTCCTGCCTAGGAAGATTTTTTAAAGTGAATTATGTGTACTGTAGACATGACTAGTGTTGTGGGGGTGGTCCCTACATGCCTGAGGTTTAGGGAATGCTTCTCTATATTATAGATGCCAATACTCTCATCTATAGTAATGTCAAGATTTAAATTTTAGTGGCAATTTTTATTAACGAATTTCTGTTTACTAGGAACATCTCGTGCAACAGCTTGGTACAAAGAAAAAGTGAAAGTTCTTTTGTTAGATAGAAGCTAGATCTGAGCAGTGGAAAAAACGCCCTGAAGCAGAATCCCAATCCTTGAAGGGGAATGATAGAGACTAGAGCCAGAGGCAGGGACGGTGATTTAAAAAATGCTACACATTGTAAGCCTGGGAGCTCATCATCCTGACCTGTGGCTTCCAAGACCTTGGGCCTGATACGTCAAGAGTGACACGTGCCCAACATGCGCTCTCCTCTTCCATCTCTGCCCCAGGGTAACCCCTAGACTTATTATAATTCATTTGCATTGCAGGTACAGCCCCATCCATGGAGAAAGGCTGCCCTGACTATTCTGGGACCAAGCTTGCAGGGTCAAAAACTTCCCCTCCCAAACTGTGGGAGGAGTTTCGCAAAAGTTTGGAAGCAGCCTCCTTTAGAGACCACGGCCACTGTACTTCACAGCTCTTCCCAGCCCAGAAAGACCCAATAATATCCAATTCCAAACAACCACTCCGAGAAATCTGTCTCCTCTCCCACTAATAAACTGCTCGGTGATTGCTCCTTTCCTGCTGTCTTTATTGGAGCACGGAGCCCCACATAAATCTTTTCATGGGGAATCCAAGGACCGAGACCTCCGTTCACACATATGACGCAGACTCGCCCACCTCTGACACTGTCATAAACATTTCCCTGAACTGTATCAGGGTGCCAAAGGCATCTTCCCTAATCCACCTTCATGATTCACTGCAAACAAAAAAGAGACAATCGATATACTCAACCCTATTAAAAAAGTTTAGGAGCCATCTTAAAATGTTTATAGAAATTACAAATATGGGGGACAACAGCTGGGTGGCTCGGTCACTTACATGTCTGCCTTCGGCTCAGGTCATGACCCCAGGGTCCTGGGATCCCCTATCGGGCGCCCTGCTCAGCGGGGAGCCTGCTTCTCCCTCTCTCTCTGCCGCTTACCCCTGCTTGTGCATTCTTGCTAACAAATAAATTTGAAAAGAAAAAATTACATGTACAGTATTTTGAATACGATTTTCAAGTATCCACTGTGGAATCAGGATAGATCTCTTCTTCATAGAGAAATGTGAAATAATTATAGTCTCTCACTGTCCAACACTGTGAGAAAGAGAGAACAGTTACTTCCCAATTTGATGTGGATAAGCAGTCTTGCAGCGAGAGGTCTCACACCTTTACAAATATATTACTCAGCTGCCCTACTAACATCTTTTTTCCTGTGCCAATAAGGTAATGGGATAAATGATATTTATGCTAACTGAAGAGCTTTGATTAACAAGGCTACAGGAAGGGCCCAGGCAAAGATAAAAATGTGACTGCACTGTGTTCTCTAATCTCAACGGCAGGTTCTCCAACTTTTTTGTTTTTAGATCCTCCGTGTAAATACTTAGGGCTCTCAAAACAAGTTGTTTTGCTCAAGAACCTCTTTACACATCTGGAACATGACCTCTTAAGCCCAAGCCTTGTTTTAAAACCATGGCTTAAAAAACATGTTTAGATGTGAACAAGCAGGATGTTAACGAGGAAACACTGCACACTGGCCTGTCACTGTTGAAGTGCTGAGGTCATTAGTTGTGGGTTTTTCCATGAGTCCTTTTTTATTCTTCCAAACTATATGTGCTTCTGACATCTTCAGGGTAGGGGCAGGAGGTAAGAAAACAGTTTAGTTTGTCTGCCTTCCACGGTTGCTTCTGAGAGAGAGCCTTCTGGCTTTTTCTCATCTGAACTCAACAAGGATGTTTCTCCCACGTCACCATTACAGCTTCAACACGAAGACAATGTCTCCATTTTTCTGTTCTTTTTTGCTTCACAGACTTAACTTCTACGCTCCTGGGCTGTGGAGGATGGGAGAAACACAAGATCTAGCTGGAGTCTGGCCTCTGTGTGATGTGGGGTCACTTCACCTCGATGGGATGCAGTTTATGGGGCTATAAAATGACCCTCACCATTTGCTCATTAAGATCCTTTTTTGTTTTAAGTCATGATAACATTCCAAATAAGATGACAGGATTTTATACTTTTGGCATTTAAAAAGTAGAAATACTCCTTTCACTTGCTGCATTCACTGTATCAGATGCTGAATGAAATATAAATGAAAACAAAAGGAGGACAAATCCTACAATGAAAGGAGACACTCATGTCCACCCATGACTCAGTGTGCGTGGAGTGAGGTGGGCTCTGGGCAGCTCTATAAGCATAACGAGGGGCAATATGCCCTACAATTAGGGCATTCTACATTATCAATGAAAAAAGCCTTGATATTTGTTTTTGTTTAATTTTTTTAAGATTTTATTTATTTATTTAGTTGACAGAGAGAGACACAGCGAGAGAGGGAACACAAGCAGGGGGAGTGGGAGAGGGAGAAGCAGGCCTCCTGTGGAGTAGGGAGCCCAATGCAGGGCTCGATCCCAGGACCCTGAGATCATGACCTGAGCTGAAGGCAGACGCTTAACGACTGAGCCACCCAGGTGCCCCAAAAGCCTTGATAGTTGAACTGTTCAAACAGTTCTAATAGAATCTACTTGGAAAAAAGTAGAATCAAATGTGTGACAATATAACAAAATGGACATACAAAAAAGCATTTGAATAGAGAAGACAATTCACAGCATTTATTCAAGTTCATTCATTCATTCAATAATCTGCCATATCGTTGCTGTCACCGTTAATATTACCGTCATTACTATTTCTCTTTCGAGAGGACCATGCTTTTAAAAAATGTGTTGGATTTCCATGATGCTTAACTCGATGATTAAAAATTTTTTTCTCTACTAAAAGGGAACCCCTTCATGACAAAAGAAACAGGAAAAACTGAGATATAGTTGTAGAAAGTCATCTCCACCAGAAACAATTCATAGTCCATAATCTTTCAGGGTTGTACTTTTACTTGGGGTCTCTTTTTGGGGCAAAGGGGCTGTCTCTCATAAATGTTTGCTTGAAATAGAGAACGTACCCTACTGTATCATAGGAGGACAATAAGGTCTAGTCCCTAGAGAACTAGGGACTGCCTAGGTGGTCCTCCAAGAAAGGAACCCTAATGGCTCCTAGGTGACAGTCATTCTGCCAAGGTCAGTGACCCTCCTGCCCTGACCAGTCACTAGTAAAAAGGTCTAGTCAGGTGAATGGGAGAGGTAGTCACTAGCTTCCAGTTAGAATCTCTAGCTCAGGAACGTCCGTGTTTAAGTAAGCTGGAGCTGGAGCTGGAGGGAGATGTTACAGAGTCTGGAGAAAATGACTAAGAATAGGCAAGTGTGAAAAAGACACAGGTTTCCTACCAGGGGACCCACAGAAAGGGGGTACCACCAGTCAAGGGCAGTTCTGTGCTTTTCTTTGAGAATACACTGAGTGGGTTCTGCAGTTTTCAGATAACAACTGGAATGATACTGAACAAATGACAAGTTAATTCAGTTTCGGTCTGTGGTTCAGAAAACACTGACAGAACACCTGTGTGCAAGGCAATGACTCAGGTGCTGGAAAAAAAAAAATCAAGCTGTCTAAGATGTGGTCCTGACCAGAAGGAGCCATCTAGCAGTGGCCATCAGACCCCTGCACAAGGATGGCTTCTGGCTGGCTCTATCAGGGGAGGCATTCCCGATCCTCTCCTCTAGGTACTGTGTGTCCTCTGTGCCTCTAGGTCACTGCTCGGCCTGGCCCATTCCAGGCACTTGCTTATCTTCCTTATCTTTCTTGGTGTGTGAGAAATGGAAGTTTGAGAGGATAAGATCCTGCTTCCCAGGTGCCTAGTGCATGTGGAATTGATGTGTTGGGGAAATGTCACTCTGTCTTGGTTCAGAAAGGTGGAAAAATTTGGGGGAAAGGAGAGCTAAGATGCGGTGGTAAGGGTAAGGTGTCTTAGTCAGAAGGTGGGAGCAAAGTTATACCAACAAGCAGTTTTAGTACACAGCTTAAACCAGATGATACAAGGAGCACCAACATGGCCAAAGACCTCAAGCAGGTAGCTTGGAAGCCCTCAGCCAAACAGGTTAGTCTGCAGAACTGGGAAGCTTAAATCCTTTCCTATCATCTAGTCAAGCTCAACCAGAGCGTATGAAAGAATAATGAATAACTAGAGGGTCTTAAATTTCTGGAAAATAGAAAGATCAAGTAAACTCAGCATCCCCCAGCATCTCCCCCACCCCCAAAACAGTGAAGTTGAATGTCAAAAGTGTAAAGAAAGCTTTTGGGTATCCTCTTTAAGTTTGTTTTTGGCGTTTTGGTCTGTAAGCCATCAAGATGGAGAGAGATGCTATCCCAAAGAGATACGTTTGTAGGAACCAGAGTAGTTGAGCCCGACCATCTGTGATGCCTTTAGACCTAAAAAAAAAAAAACAAAAAGAAAAACTTAGCCACCAGAATTTTAATGTTATGGTTTCATAAGAGTTACTGTCTTCCATTAAAAAACTATTCCTTCTATTTACTTTCATTAGGTTTATTTTGCCATTTTCCTCCAGCTTCTTAATTCTCATGGTTTATTTTCATTTTTGTGTGTGTGCATTTAGGACAGTACACTCTTCCCTCAGATGCAGTGTGGCTACTGCCTAGGGCACGGTATTATAAAACCATTTCTCATGAGGCTTTGAAGAGCAGATAGGGTTAAAAAGCTCCAGCACCAGGATGGCTTTAGAAGAAGTGTTTTGAAGGTAGAACAAATGTAAATCCTGGCTTGCCAAGAGCTAGCTGTGATGCTGAGCAAGTCACTCATTCTCTCTCAGAATCTGTTTCCTCCTCTGAAAAATAGGAATATCAGGGCGCCTGGGTGGCTCAGTCAGTTAAGTGTCTGCCTTCAGCTCAGGTCATGATCCCAGGGTCCTGGGATCGAGCCCCTCATCGGGCTCCCTGTTCAGCCAGGAGTTTGCTTCTCCCCCTCCCTGCCCCCCCTTGTACTCTCTCTCTCTCAAATAAATAAATATCTAAAAAAAAGAATAGGAATATTATCTCAGCAAGTTTTGAGACGATTTATGAAATAACATACACAAAGTATTTAGTAAAAGTCCTGGCACATAGTAATAATAAACACCTTGTTGCAGTCATTCAAACTAAACTGCTTAAAACAAAGCTCAAAAGAAAACGACCCAACTGAAGTGAATGGCCTTGCTAGTCTCGTCTGTATATGAAGAAGTCTCATGTGGATGACTTCTAATTTAAAACAAAATTGAAAAACAATGTATGTAAAAATGATATAATTTTCCACACTAACAGAATAAAGGAGAAAAATATGATCATCTTGATAACTGCAGAAGCATTTGAAAAATTACAGCATCCATTCTGAATACAAGTTCTCAGCAAACTCAGAAATAGGATAGAACTTCCTTATTCTGATAAAGGAGGTCTACATGACCTAGAAAAAACGTTAGGTGAAATATTGAAAGCTTTTCCTTTTTCAGCAACAACGGAAGGGCCAAGATGTATGAGAAATTCATGTTCATGCAGTATTACTTATAATAATAAAAGTGAGGGCGCCTGGGTGGCTCAGTCAGTTAAGTGACTGCCTTCGGCTCAGGTCATGATCCTGGAGTCCTGGAGTCCTGGGATCGAGTCCCACGTC